TTATGTTTGAATAAATCCATCAAGTTTTATGACAGCCACCATTTAAATGTTTATAGCCTATTTAAAAAAACCCGAATTGAAGTAGAAATATTATTATATAATTGTAACTTTATTATTTTAAAATCTTCATTAAGTGTAGTTTTAGCAGTTGTGTAGCCTGCAAATCAGTCAGTTTAAACCTTCAATATTATAGTAATGTAGCTAGTAACTGATTCTCATGTATATTTTACAGCATTAGTTGAGAGATAAAAAAAATTTTCCATGAGAAAATTTGGCATGTAGCCTACTGTACCTGATATATATACAAAATAATCGATATTGAATAGAATCGGTAATCGAATCGAAAGCTTGTGAATGAGAATAGAATCGAATCGAATCGTGAAATTTGTGTCAAAACCCAGCCCTACTGCTAATGTCATCAAAATGATTCCAGGGGCCACCAGATATGCTGTCAGCCATGTCCAAGATATATAATCAGTATCTGAGCTTTTCATAACACCATCATTTGAAAAGGATATACTTCAAATGACAAACTTGGAGGAGAGGAAGGTGTATGGGGACAGTTGAAAAGACTTTGATGTGACTGACTTGCAAGCCTAAATTGGGTTGCTCATTTTGGCAGGAGTGTACAAGTCAAAAGGAGAAGCAACAACAAGCTTTTAGAATGCTGACACTGGAAGGTCAATATTTCCAGCCACCATGTCTCTAAAGGCATTCCATGTTTTCTCCCGTGTTATACGCTTTGATGACAAAGAAACAAGACAGGGCCGACAAGAGCGTGATAAACTCGCACCAATACGGGATGTATGGGACAAGTGGGCCCAGCGATTACCCTTTCTTTACAACCCAGGCCCCCACATCACTGTGGATTAATGTCTGGTTCCATTTCATGGGTGCTGTCCCTTCAGACAATATATGCCAAGCAAACCAGCCCAATATGGCATAAAAATATGTGATGCACAGTCCAGCTATGCCTGAAATATGCAGGTGTACATTGGTAAATCCCCTGGAGAAGCACCTGAAAAAAATCAGGGCATGAGGGTGGTACTGCACATGGCTGAGGGACTGAATGGCAATAACATTACATGATGATTTTTTCACATCGTACGCCCTGGGTGAGGAACTGCTAAACAGGAAGGTTACCATGTTGGGTACAGTGAGAAAACATAAGCTAGAGCTTCCCTCTGAGCTTCTTGTGATGAAGAAGAGAAAGGTAACATCTTCAATGTTTGCCTTTACTGTCGTCTCCTACTGCCCCAAGAAAAGGACAAATGTCCTGCTAATGAGCACTATGCACAAAGATCATTGATGTGAGCGCCTACAATGCCTTTGTGTTATGGAGTGAAATAAACAAGGACTGAAACAGCGGAAAACTAAGTCGAAGGAGGATTTTCCTGGAGCAGCTGAGTTACGAGCTAGTGAAACCTCATATTGAGAGAAGACGGTGCCTTCCAAGAACATAATCAGCTGCTGCAACTGTTGTGAATGACATCCAAATGGAGACAAACATTCCAGTGCAGGTGGGAAATGTGGCAGGTGCCAGGTCTGTCCCAACAGAAATGACTCCAAGACCAGCAACACTTGTGTGAAATGCAAAAAATACGTCTGCAAGGAGCACACACACACTTTCTACACATTATGTGCAAAGTAGTGCAGACAAAAGGGGAGGGGGGGGGGCTATTTAAGTAGCCAACAAAGACATAAATTACTTGACACAAACCTTTTAGTAAAAAAAATATATTTATATATTTTGGAGATTTAAATTGCTGGGGTCAAATTGACCCCAGTGAAGAATTTTTTTTATCAGATTTTAGGGTAACAGGAGGGTTAAACTAAATAAAAATAAATAAGCTTAAGTTTTTATTTTATTTCAGTTAATGTTTAATTTATTTCAAGTTAAGAACATTTTTTTTAATGGATTTAGCTAACAATAATAACCCTGGTTACCAAAACACCTGAGGTACATTTATTCGCTTACATGAGATGAGTCTCACCTCAATTATTAAAAGTCTCATACCTGCTGCAGATGACTTTTTGATTGTCCCTCTTCCACTTCCTCCTTACAGAAACGGTTTGTTCTTTCCTGAGTGAATGAATATGAAATGTTGTCAGATTGCTAATATGAGATCACCAGTGTAAATGGTTTGACCATCATATTGTAAATCATAATGAATGATGAGCAAAAAGAGCGATATGGATTTTTAAAGCAGCTAACAAGACTTCCTAAAACATTTTTTTTTGTAGAGAAATAGAGAAATTACACACACACACACACACACTTTTTCATGAGCACCTATAAATAATTTATTCAGTGATATATCAGTATGCAACAAAACTTCAGTGGATCACGGCCATTATTTTCAAGCCCCTTTTCTTTTTTCTTGCTTGTATGATATTTTCTTATAGAACAATGGCAGTAGCAACAATAAAATAATAGGATATGTATTATTATTATTAATTAATTAAATAAATACACTTGAATCTAATACCATTTAGGACATTTACCGCACTGTAAAAAATCCAATTAACAAAATGTTGGAAGGGCAAAAATATTTAAGTTGAGCTAATAGTAAGTGCCACTAAATAAATGTTATTTTTTAGACTAAATTTATTGACAAAAACATACAGCATATCCGATGTTTTTGAGTGGATATTTAGAAGTGTTTTAT